ACCCTCCTCTCACCCAGGTTGTACCACACGTCCATCTCGCCACTGAGCGTGCGCACCTCGATGATCGTCTGGCCCAGGAAGTCGTCGGACTCCCTCTTGAACCTCTGCTTCACGCGGGATTTGATGTCGTCGTCCTCGTCCCAGACGCGCACCTTGATGCGGTCGGAGGAGTTGTGACACTCGCTGGGGGGCAGGGAGAGGCGTCAGGGGCGGCGGGGCGGGGAGGCCAGCCCGGGGGCCGTCCTGGGGGCCCCTCCCCCTCCCCATCCTCCGTGGGGCCGCGCACTCACAAGTGGAAATTCTCCTCCCACACGGGGTTGAGGTTCCCGTAGATGGTTTTTGTCCGCTTCTTGGTCTTGCCGACCTGGACCGTGACATAGGGGTCGCTGGACCCCGTCTTGTCCTTCGCCTGCAAGCCCTGGGCGCAGACCACTGAAAGGCACACAGGGCGGCACGGCGTGGGCTGGGGAGCCAGGCAGGCCAAGAGCGGCGCCGCCACGCGCTCCAAGCTGTCACGGCGTACGGCTTCGGTGTGGCCTCACAGCCACGGCCCCACAGCCACGGCCCCACAGCCACGGCCCCACAGCCACGGCCCCACAGCCACGGCCCCACAGCCACGGCCCCACAACCATGGCCCGCCAACCACGGCCTCACAGCCACGGCCCCACAGCCACGGCCCCACAGCCACGGCCCCACAGCCACGGCCCCACAACCATGGCCCGCCAACCACGGCCTCACAGCCACGGCCCCACAGCCACGGCCCCACAGCCACGGCCCCACAGCCACGGCCCCACAGCCACGGCCCCACAGCCACGGCCCGACAACCACGGCCCCACAGCCACGGCCCCACAGCCACGGCCCCACAACCACGGCCCCACAACCATGGCCCGCCAACCACGGCCTCACAGCCACGGCCCCACAACCACGGCCGCCAACCATGGTCCCACAGCCATGGCCCCACAGCCATGGCCCCACAACCACGGCAGCCAACCATGGCCCCACAGCCACGGCCCCACAACCACGGCAGCCAACCATGGCCCCACAGCCACGGCCCCACAGCCACGGCCCGCCAACCATGGCCCCACAGCCATGGCCCCACAGCCACGGCCCGCCAACCATGGCCCCACAGCCACAGCCCCACAACCACGGCCCACCAACCATGGCCCCACAGCCACGGCCCCACAACCGTGGCCCACCAACCATGGCCCCACAGCCACGGCCCCACAACCACGGCCCCACAGCCACGGCCCCACCAACCACGGCCCCACAGCCACGGCCCCACAACCGTGGCCCGCCAACCACAGCCTCTAACGCGGCTCACCAGGCTCGTTAGGGAGGAAACACGGAGGGGCCGTGAGCCGATACACGACGGCAGGTGCCCCGGCGCCTCCCAGGGGGACTGGCCCCAGTCGCTCACGAGATCGTCTGCCATTGGCGCCCCTGGGGAGCCCTCCCCTCCACGACTCACATCCTCACCCCTCAGGGGGGCTTCCTGGGGTTACTTCCTAGATAGCCCACGCACCCTGAAACCCCCACCCTCGGGTCTGTTCATGGGGAACTCTAAGCGCCCTCGTTGCTGCGCGGGGCGCTGTCCCTGGATGGTCCCCGGCGCCCGCGCCATCGCACCACGGCTCTGCGGGGCCGCCGCCCAGGTAAACCACGTGCCCTCCACCCCTCTCCCCCGGCCTTCCTGCTGGGGGGCACAAACGAGTCGCGCCAGGACAGAGCGTCAGGCACACGCGCTTGGAGGCACACCTGCCCGCCCGCACTGCGCACGCGCGCGCAGACGCGGGAGGGACACGGGCGCGCCCACGTTCACGCAGACTAGGGGCCGACACCCGGCCAGGGCCCCGGGCACGGCGCGCCCCTCACCGGTGATGCTGATCTTCGCCGACCACTTGGACGTGCCGTCCAGCACGCTCTGCTTCACCGCCTTCATCTGCTGCGTGTGCGCGCTCTTGGTGACCGCGAAGATCTCCTGGATGAGCTCGAAGATCTCGGGCTTGTTGCGCTCCCGGATCTTCATGCGGTCCTTGAGCACCATGATGATGTTCTGCGTCCGGTCCTCCGCCCCGTGCTTGGAGCTCTTCTCCGCCGCACCTGCGGGCGCCCGCGGCCGTCGCTGTCCTGGTGCACCTGCTCCTCCTCGGAGCCCCGCCCCTCACATAGCCCCAACCCCCGCAACCACCCCTTCTCGGAGCCCCGCCCCTCATAGAGCCACGCCCCTTCTCGGAGCCCTGCCCTCTCACCGAGCCCCGCCCCCTCATAGAGCCACGCCCCTTCTCGGAGCCCCGCCCCCTCAGAGCCACGCCCCTTCTCGGAGCCCTGCCCTCTCGCCGAGCCCTGCCCCCTCATAAAGCCCTGCCCCGCAACGACCCCTTCTCTGAGCCCCGCCCCCTCATAGAGCCACGCCCCCGCAACCACCCCTTCCCAGAGCCCCGCCCCTCATAGAGCCAAGCCCCTCCTCTGAGCCCCGCCCCCTCACATAGCCCCGCCCCCATAACGACCCCTTCTAGGAGCCCCGCCCCTCATAGATAGAGCTACGCCCCTTCTCGGAGCCCTGCCCTCAGCGAGCGCCTCTAAGCCACGCCCCTCATAGAGCCACGCCCAGTCTCCGAGTCACGCCCTCACGCTAAAGCCCTGCCACCACTAAGCCCCGCCCCTCTTTCTAGCCCCTTCCCTGGCTAAACCCCTCCCCACTAAGTCCCGCCCATTCCCTCCCTCAGCCACAGCCCTCAACAAGCCCCGCCCCTTCTAGGACCACGCACACAGGCCCCACCCCCTTCATAACCACGCTCTCGCCAAAAGCCCTGCCCCTCTTGGAGCCCCGCCCCTTCTGTGGGCCACACCCTCACTAAGCCCCCTTGGAGCTCCACCCCCAGTGAGCCACGCCCTCGCTAAGCCCGTCCACGCGCGACAAGCGGGCGCGGGCGCGGCCATGAAGGCCGCGGCGCGCGGGCGCGGCGCGCGGGCCGTAGGCGCGGCGGCGGTGGGGCAGCACGGCCGGCGCGAGGACTATGGGCGCGACCATCGTGCCTGAGAAGTTGGGAGCGCTGCCGGGAGGGAGGAGCAGGGCCGCCCGGTCGGTAACAACGGCCTCCACTGGCGAGGGCAGGAACAGGAGACCGGGAGGTCGCGAGGGCTCGTAGTGGGAAGAGGAGGGTCCCCTGGAGAAGCGGGGTGAGCGAGCGCAAGCTCGGAGGAGGGAAGAGGCCCGGACTGGGAGGGGACTGTGGGGAGGGCTTTGGACGGCAGGGGGCGACCAGATTGGAGGCTGGTGGAGGAGCCAATCAGAGGGGCCTCCAAAGAAGAGGCGGGGCTCCGCAAACGGGCGGGCCCAGAGGGGCGGGGCTTATCGATGGACGTGACCCAGAAAACGGGGTGTGATTAGGTGAGGTGCAGGGCTTAGCGAGGGCGTTGCTCACTGGGGGTGTGGAGTCCAAGGCTTAGTGAGCTGTGGCCCACAGAAGGGCGGGTCAAGAGGGCAGGCTTTTGGCGAGAGCGTGGTTATGAAAAGGGGTGGGGCTGTTGCGTCCTAGAAGGGGCGGTGGCCTTGTTGAGGGCTGTGGTGAGAGGATGGCGGACTTCGAGTGGGGGGTTTAGCCAGGGAAGGGCTAGAAAGAGGGGCGGCTTGAGTGGTGCAAGGGTTAGCGT